GCCCGCATCCTCTCTGCTGTCCTACTCGAGCCTGTCCACATCCTGGCAGGGCCTCAGAGAAGCACATTGCAGACCAGGTGGCGGGTGGCAGGCGATGAGACACCGTCAGAGCACAGCGGCGCCCGCCACAAGCTGGACCCCTGCAGCCACCCACAGACAGGAGCACGCCCCCGAGCTCTGCCATGGGACCCCCATGCCAGGGCAGAGAGCGGGCACTCCGGAACCAGGGGTGAGCGAGTCACTGACATACGAGCACACATTCGGGAGTGGGACCTGGGGAGCACTTTGAGCACACAGTAGGTGTGGACCCGAGGAGCACTGTGAGCACATGGTAGGTGTGGGAGCCAGGAGCACTGTGAGCACACAGTGGGTGTGGGACCTGGGGAGCACTGTGAGCACATAGTAGGTGTGGGACCCGGAGCACTGTGAGCGCACAGTGGGTGTGAGGAGCACTGTGAGCACAAAGCAGGTGTGGGACCCGGGAGCACTGTGACCACACAGCAGGCATGGGACTTGGGGAGCACTATGACCACACAGCAGGTGTGGGGGTCTGGGGAGCACTGTGAATTCACATTCAGGCATGAAGAGCACACTGTGATCTCACAGCCGGGTGTGGGGAGCACTGTGAGCTCACAGGGGGTGCGGGACCTGGGGAGTGTGTACCAGTGTCATGGCAATCTCCAGCCAACACCACAGGCCTGAGGTCTAACGCCAGCCCTGAGGGGCATGAAGTCAGCTTTGAGGGGCAGGAGCACCAGCATGCAAGCCAGGAGCACTGTGTGAGCACTGTGACTCAGGTGCTGGCCCCGACCTCCAGGCCGCCAGGTCAGCAGGGCCACTGAGTGTGGGCGACCCACGTCACTGCCTCAGCCCGGTCAGGGCGGAGGGAAGGAGGTAGGAGAAGAGAACACGGGCTGAGGGCAAACTCGCGGGGTGGGGGTGGATCCCGCTGAGCTGTCGGGGTCCTCCCCCCATGCCCCCTCCCTGCTCCTCCTCCTGCTGCCTCACCGTGCTCCCCAGGTCCCACACTACTGGGAGCTCACAGTGCTCCCTGAAGGCGCTCAGCGGGCAGGAGTCTGGGCAGACGAGACAAGTCGCCTTCTTCCTCCACTCATTGTCCAGTCGGAAGGAGGGGGCACAGGAGCCCCAATCTCAACTGTGCCCTCAACTCAGATTTTTTTTTTCTTTTTGAGTCACACCCGGCGACGCACAGGGGTTCCTCCTGGCTCATGCACTCAGGAATTACTCCTGGCGGTGCTCAGGGGACCATTTGGGATGCCGGGAATCGAACCTGGGTCAGCCGCGTGCAAGGCAAACGCCCTACTCGCTGTGCTATCGCTCCAGCCCCTATTCATTTATTTTTTAAACTAAAAAATAATTATTTTGCTGCTTATTTTGGGCCACGCCTGGCAGTTCTCAGGGGTTCCTCCTGGCTCTGCACTCAGGAATCACTCCTGGCGGTGTTCGGGGGGACCCTATGGGATGCCGGGAATCGAACCCAGGTCGGCCACATGCCAGGGAAACGCCCTCCCTGCGGTGCTATCGCTCCAGCCCCTCGCCCCAGCTTCTTGCTCTGCCTGCGGGCCCCGGCGTGCCGGCCAGGAGCCTGCAGGGTCTCATCTAGGCAGGCGCAGGTGGACCCGGGGCCCGTGGTCAGGCATGGAAGCTGCCACAGGAGCAGCACAACGGCAATGACAGTTCATCTGCTCCGTGGCCAGCCACAGTCACAGCCAAGGGGGTCCGAGCACCCCCGCAGCCACCGACAGCTGCTTCTCAAACAGGGGAGCCTGCGTCCAGCCTGGCCACTCTGAGGCGACCCCGTCCCCATCCCAGGCACAAGAGACGGACGCCCCGAGTCAGGATCACCAGGACACACAGGGAAATCACGAAGTCTGATGTATAACCCGGAGAAGAGCGAAAAGTGGGGTGCTGTGGGCTGGGGGGGTGATGCTGAGCATCACGGGTTAACTCTTCGCTCGCCAGGCAGCGCCCTCACGGGGGGGGGGGGCGGGGGGCTCAAGGCCTGGAGAGGAGACGCCGCAGGAGGGGCTTAGCCCAGCCCTCGAACCCCTCCCCCAGCGCTGCCATTTCAAGCCGCACCCCCCCCCCAACAGCTTCTCATGGCCTCCCCCTCGTCTTTAAAGACTGTCCCTTTACAACTGCCCTTTCCACCGCTGGATTCAGACGCAAATTGTACTTTAAATTCAATATTGGTCATTAATATTTCATGATTACAAAACGTTAAAGATAATGTCAGTGGCGGGCGCGTGAGCACGGGTGGAATGGATGACTCAGAGGTTCGGGAGCGGGGGAGCCAGCATACCAAGTGGCCGGGGAGTCTTTGAGGTAATCCGGGCTGACAGGCGGCTCCCGGCCCCGGGGTGGGGAGTGGGGTTCCGCGCTCCGAGAGGGTCAGGCGCTGCCACTGGGTCTAAATATCCCCCCTCTGATTCTTGTCACCTCCCATTTGTTGCACCTGGGGTGGGTGGGGACGCCGCGGGGACCCCTGGCCTTAGTGGGGTGGTCTGGCTGCGGGGGGGGCCCTGGCATTGCTGGGGGGGTGTCTGGGCTGGCGGGAGGCCGGTGGCAGGAGCGCTGGGTTCCGGGACCTCGCCCTGGGACCTCGCCCTGGGACCTCGGGGCCAAGGTGGCTTCTACCCTCGCTTCTGTCCCCTTGCCATGCAGAGTGGGGGTGACAGGGGGGCCTCTGGAGTCAGGCAGAGCGGGGCCGGTCATTTGTGATGCGCTGCTCAAACACAGGGCACAGGGGCAGAACTGACACCTGTTGGGGGTGGGGAGGCTCAGTGAGCACTGCATATGCTGGCAGAGGAGCTGGAGTCTTCCTCAGCACCCAGCAGGTATCCACCGTGCAACTTGAACCCTCGAGGGATCCCCACGTTCGGGGTAGGCCCACGCATCTGTGGCCCCTGACGGGTATAGGCAGGACGGGGGTCTCTAGCCACTCACCCAGCCACCTGGACACGTGTCTGTCTCCTTCCCCAAGTGCAGGGGAGGGGACAGCGGCAGGTGCTGTGGCCGACAGCTGGCGGCGGGTGTTGGAACCCACTGCCCTTCCACGGGCCCCCTTCAAGGGGGCGGCTCTGCTCCCTGTCACCCTGTGGCGGTCAGGCTGCGGTGGCCACACTGCACCTTCTTGATCCTTTTCTGACTCGGTGGGGACGGGGACTCACCACGACTGAGCAGGGCCCTGTGGGTGGCGGGAGCAGGCGGTGTGGACGGCGGCAGGAGGGGGGTGGAGAGGAGGCCGTCCCCCGGGCTGAGGCGGGGAGGGGGAGCACTCTTCCCGAGTCCAGCGCCTCGTCCTCTCCAGCCACCTTTGTTATCTGCCTGCGTGCGCCGCGGACTGGATTCAAAGGCGCTCTGGGCTGAGCCAGCTTTGTTTTTCCTTTAAAGCGAAGTTGAAAGAGACGAAGGGAACTTCAGCCTGGGGACTTCCTTGGCCAGCGCCGGGGTGGGCGGCCGAGTGGGAGGGCGCCAGCCAGCCCGGAGAGAGAGGCTGGCCGCAGGGCTGAGGGGGGAGGGCTGGGCCAAGTGTGCAGAGGTGAGGGAGTGCGGCTGCCGGGGCGCAGACACTCTGGGGCTCCTGCTGTGGCCACCGCTGCTTCCTCTGCTGGCTGAGAGCTGCCCGCGGGCGCCGGCGACCAGGAGGCCTTCGCAACTCTGCCCCCCTCCTGATGCCCGGGACTCTGTGCTGAGTGCTCACCGGTGCGTGGCCTGACTCATCTCAGGGCGCCCCTTTCTCCCCGGCTCATGTTCACAAGTGACGCTGCCTGTCTGCACACAGATGTGCACACATGAACGCACACACACACATGCACAAACATGTGCACACACGTACCACACACCTGCATACACACGTATATTCACATGCACAAATACACACATACACACCACACACACCTGCACACAAACATGCACCACACACACACACACACGCATGCACAAGCACATAGGCACGCCACACCTGCACACGTGTGGGCACACATGCACACACCGCACCCATACGTGTACACAGGAATTCACGTATACACCCATGCATGCAACACAGAGCACGAGCACCTATGCATCAAAGAACCTGCACACACGTGCACACACATACTCATGCGGGCACACAGCACAGATGTGAACACACGCACGTACACACCACACACATGCATACCTGAACACACACCCATACACACTTGCTCACATCCATGCACACAGGAACACAGAGACGTGAACGTACACACTTGCACCACACAGGCTAGCACACATTCACGCACATGCGATACCCATGGCCACACAGCACGCACGTGACACTTACCACATACATGTACCACATACAATGCTTGCATGTACACAGCTCCATGTACATGCACCACACACATACACATATGCACACCACACACATCTGCAGGTACATAGCTGTATACAGACACATCTGCAGGTACATAGTTGTACACACACACACACACACACACACACACACACACAGTTTTCCAGAAACTCGGGCCAAGCCCCCTGGAGTGGTCCCTGACCCTCTCTGTCCCCCAGCCAGCCTTGTGGCCTGCTGAGTCCTGCTCAGGGCAGCAGCCCAGGGACCCAGTCAGGCGCCGACCCTCCTCTGCCCCTCCCGGACAGCCCACCTCATCAGGCAGGACCCCAGACAGAGCGCCCGGTCCCCTCTGCTGGCCCCCACGGCTGAGACGGCTGCTGAGAAGCCCCCTAAGCACAGGCGCCCGCCCCCCCACCTCTCAGAGCCTGGACCGCGGCCCCCCCCACCTTGCAGGTCACTCCACACTGCACGGGTCACCCGGCACATCACGGGTAGCCCGGGACGCGTCCCCGACCCATGCCCCCATCTCCTTCGGCTGCCGGTGTCTCGCCCTGCGCTCATTCAGCCTCCGAAGCGCGGCTTTGTTGTCTAGCAGCTGCTCAGTAAACGCAGAGGCCGTCCCGGTCCCGGCCACCTCCTCTCCCACCGCGGCCGCCCGCCTCACCTGCCTCCATGGCCAGCACTGTGATGTTGTGCCAGCCGGCGGTCTCACGGTCCAGCCCCTTGCCCGTCACGATGGCGCCCGTGTCCGCATCGATATCGAAGACTTGGTCCACGTCCGAGTCCCGGTCGATGGCGTACCTGCGGGCGGCAGGGCGGGGCTGATTGATGGGGGGCCAGGTGGCACCGTGTGCGACGCCCCTGCCCTACCCCCCGGGGACCCAGGAGCACAGCAGCCCTCCCCCAGGGGCAGCTCTTGATCTTCTGGAGCCTCAGTTTCCCCAGGGGGTGCTGGCCCCACCCACAGTCATCCCGAGGACGGAGGGAGGGCCTGCGCCTGGCCAAGAGTGGGCACCCGCTGATGCACCAGTCCTGCTTTCCCCTGGGAGACGAGCCTGGCAGCGTGTTTGAGAAGGGGACAGGGCTGTCACCCAGGGCCGGGGACACAGGCGCTGGAGGGCAGGGCCCATGGCCACCGCCCCAGAGGTGATGTTCGTGGTACCCGATGGTTCGACCTGGGAAGTAGGCGAGTTGGAATTCAGAGCTTTGGCGTGGAGTGGGGGGTCTGAGCCACAGAGGGGCGTGAAGGGGGCTCATGGGCGCCGGACCCCTGCCCTGCCGAGCTCAAACCAGCGGATCAGCCCCGAGGGGGCGGCTGCCAGCCCCTCCCGGCCCCGTGCGGCCCGCCCGCCCCACCGAGCTAATCTTCCGTTTTTCAGCTGCCTGGTGAACAAGGCCTTTGTTCCGCTCGCTTCCCAGGCCTTTGTGCGGCTGCCGCAGCCCTGAAAGGCCCGTGTCCGACACATGTCTCGGCGGCCGCGGCCCACAGAGGCCCTTCCGCTCTAGCCGATAACGCGGGCGGGGGGCTGGGGCGGGCCGCGGCGGGGCCCTCGGAGCAGCCTCAGATGCCAGGCAAGGCGCATTGTGCGGCCGAGACAAAGGAGCTGGAACCCGGCCCCTACCCGGAGCAGAAGGGGGACCTCTCCCCTCCTCCCAGAGGGGGAAACTGAGGCCAGGGCACCAGAACACCATAGCGCCCCCTGGTGGAGCCGGGAGCTTTTGACGGTGGCCTCGCTAACCTCCTAGGGACCCTGTGTCCTTCTCCGTGACCCCTGGACCCACTGGATGACCCCAGACAGGTCAGGGGCTGCCGAGGCCCCACCCTGACTGGTCTGCGAGGGGAGCTTCACCCTCTGTGCTGCAGAGTTTGGCCACCTGGGCCCCGTCCGGCTCAGTCTCCCACGCTGCGGGGGCTGGTGCCAGCCTGTGGAGGGCTGCACGCGGGGGCAGGACCCCTGCTGGCCTGCCCACGACCTAGCCCACCCTCTCTCCTGTCCCTAGGCTGCTCCGTCCAGCCCTCCGAGCCGCCTTCTAGCAGGTGAAGGTGTGTATGGGGCTGCTGATGCCAAGCTGGGCAGGCACCCCTCACCCCCCCACAGCGGTGTCTGTCGGGCATCCGGCCGGGCTGATAAGAGCCCCCTCCCCTGCCCTCTTTGCTAGAGAAGATTCCAATGGCCAGCAGAGGCCTGCTGAGGTCAGGTCGCCATGTTAGGTTGGGTAGGTTGCAGACTGCACAAAGGGGCTGAAGGCGGCCATGGTGTTGGTGGTGGTGGGGGGGAGGTGCACCCATCCATCACCCTCTTCTCCTCTGCACCCAAATGCGGCTCAGGACTAGCACTGACCATCTGTTGGCCCAGCGCTCTTTGAGCTGTCCAAACACCCAGCACAGCCGTGCCTGGGAGCAGGGCCCCTCGCGTCCACGGGGTCCCATCAGATGTTGGCGTGGAAAAGGAGGAAGCACCAGAAGGGGGGTGCTGGCTGGCGTGGAAGGGGCCGTGGAGCTGTCCTGCTTGGACAGGTGGGAGGACAGAGTCCAGCAGGGCCTCGGGGGCACCACGCTGGTGCCGGCGGGCGCGGGGCAGGGCCGGCTGTGGCGCGTGCCAGCCCGCCGCCCTCGCCCGCTCCCCGCCTCGCTCCTCTCTGCTCCTTCCTCCCGGGATTTTGCTTTTGTTCCCTTCAGGAGGGGAAGGGGGGGGCTCGGATCTAAGTGGCTGCAGCTGTCCCCAAGGCCACGGAGGGGGAGGGCGCCACGAGCCAGCTAAGGGCCGGGCTGCGGGTTGCCGAGGCTGGCTGAGCGCAGGTGGCATTGTTCCAGGGGGCCAGGGGGGTGGAGGGTGGGAGGGCCACACAGCCCGTGACGAGGGCCCGGGCCTGGCCAACATGGGGCGCCCCCGGGAGACGGGGGAGGGGGGCCCTCGTGTGTAGGAGCCTGAGTTGTGTGTCAGATCTGGCTTGTGGGAGGGAAGCGTGTGTCTGCCGAGAATATGTGTGTGGAACGGTTGTGGGGGGAGGGAGGGGGAGGGAGGGGAGGAGAGGGAGGGTGTGTGTGTGAATACGCAGACACGTGTGTATGCATTTGTGTCTGTGTGAGTATGCAGATGTGTGTGTGCATTTGTGTATGTGTGAGTATGCAGGTGTTGTGGGGGGGGAGGGGAAGGGAGTGGGAGGGAAGGGAAGAGAGGGAGGATGTGTGTGTGAGTACGCAGACATATGTGAGTGTGCAGATGTGTGTGTGAGGGAGGGGGAGGGAGGGAGGGAGGGAGGGAGGAGGGCGGGCGGGCGCACTGCGGGTCTGGAAAAGCCAAGGCGCCAGCAGCAGGTCCGGGGTGCAGCTTCGGGCCGCCGACACCCCCACCCCCAAGTCCCTCCATCTCTGAGTTTTAATTTGCCGCCTAATGGAGTCCCTGATCCACCTCGGAGCTGCTGGGGAGGATTAAGCGTCCAGCTGGGGGATAAGGTGCTCAGCCGAATTCGAGGAAAATGAGTTCGGAAGGAAGAAGCCGGCTCCGCTCATTAGCATTCAGAAATGTCCGGGGCGCAGCAGGCCCGAGCCGGGACGCGGCCCGTGTGCGTGTGTGGGCGCTGGTGCTCGCAGGGGTGCCCGGGAAAGCGAGGCCCTGCCTGGGGTAGGGGCGGCCGCGGCGGGGCTGCGCGTGGGGCGCCGGGGGGCGGGGGGGGGAGACTGTGGAGGTGAGTCAGCTGGTGTGTGTGTGTGGGGGTGTGACATGTGTATGAGTACGCAGACGTGTGAGTACGCAGACGTGTGTGAGTACACAGACGTGTGTGTGTGAGTATGCAGACGTGTGTGAGTACGCAGACGTGTGTGTGAGTACACAGACGTGTGTGAGTACACAGACGTGTGTGTGAGTATGCAGATGTGTGTGTGAGTATGCAGATGTGTGTGTGAGTACGCAGATGTGTCTGTGAGTACGCAGACGTGTGTGAGCACACAGATGTGTGTGTGAGTACACAGACATGTGTGTGAGTATGCAGACTGTGTGAGTACGCAGACGTGTGTGAGTACACAGATGTGTGTGTGAGTACGCAGGCGTCTGTGTGAGTACACAGATGTGTGTGTGAGTACGCAGATGTGTGTGTGTGAGTATGCAGACATGTGTGAGTACGCAGACGTGTGTGCGTGTGTGTATGTGTGAGTACGCAGACGTGTGTGTGAGTACACAGACGTGTGTGAGTACACAGACGTGTGTGTGAGTATGCAGATGTGTGTGTGAGTATGCAGATGTGTGTGTGAGTACGCAGATGTGTCTGTGAGTACGCAGACGTGTGTGAGCACACAGATGTGTGTGTGAGTACACAGACATGTGTGTGAGTATGCAGACTGTGTGAGTACGCAGACGTGTGTGAGTACACAGATGTGTGTGTGAGTACGCAGGCGTCTGTGTGAGTACACAGATGTGTGTGTGAGTACGCAGATGTGTGTGTGTGAGTATGCAGACATGTGTGAGTACGCAGACGTGTGTGCGTGTGTGTATGTGTGAGTATGCAGACGTATGTGTGTGAACACGCAGACATGTGAGTACGCAGACATGTGTGTGAACACGCAGACGTATGTGTGAGTACACAGACGTGTGCATGAGTACACAGACATGTGTGTGTGAGTACGCAGACGTGTGTGTGTGTGTGTGTGTGTGTGTGTGTGAGAAAGAGAGAGAGAGCCTGGGGATGGTGGTCAGAAGGGCAGGCCCGATGCCCACCTGCCCAGGTCTGAAATCTTGCCGTGTGACCTCGGGCCAGGCACTCCATCTCTCTGCTCCCCAAATCCTGAAAAGGGCCAACAAGACTAATAACAACCAGGACGAGATCTGCCAGTGTGTGCGTGAGTCGGGGAAGGTGACTTACTAGGCTGCCCAGAATAGCGCTGGGCCCCTGCCACCTGGCTTCCGGCCTCCCTTTACCCGCCAGGTGGGACGGCGCTGGGCGGCAGGGCGGGCTGTGCGTGCCTGGGTGCCCTGGTGCTCCTGGGGTCTGGCTTCAGCCCCATTTTGCAGGTGAGGAAACTGAGACTCAGAGAAGCCAGGCGCCTGGTCCTGGTCCGAGGGCCTGGGGCAAGTGGTGGGGTTTAGATCACGTCTGCCCGCGGCCCTGGGTCTCGGCATGCTCCTACGGGCAACCAAGTACACCTGCGGGCACCCCCCACCCACGGGGCCCCCTGCGAAATGCCGCTACTGCCGGGCTGGGGTGGGGAGGAGCTGGCGGGCGAGCGTGAGGCTCCCCGCCCGTAAATCTGCGTCTACGGCTCACACGGGCACCATAAAGCCAGCAGGCTGTGGCTCCCTGGGCACGGGCTCAGCGGCGCATCCCGGCAGCTGGAGCATGGCCGCCCCCGCCAGGCTGCCCACCGGGATTCCTCTCTGCTCGCCCACTTGTTCCGTCTTCCGCCCAGTCCCTGAAAGCAAAGGCAGCCCTGGGTGAGGGGAGGAGGGGGGGTGTGGGGAGCACCAACCGCAGAAGAACGGCAGAAACGGGGTGCGAGACCCTGAGAAAGACGCCAGCGCCGTTTCCTAAGGGTCTGTTCTGTGCCCACCACTAAGCCTGCCCCACTCAGGAGCACGAGCTCAGACGCTGCAGTGACATTGCCACACCCTGCGGGGTCGGAGTGAAGGTAACAAGAGGAGGCGCCTTCCACTCTCCTGAGAGGGAGGGAGGGTGCAGGAAGGTCACAGTCCACCCGCAGACCTCCCTCCTCCGCTTGTCCTCTCAGGACCAGGGCCTGCCTCAGGACCTTTGCACTTGCTGCCACTGCTCCCTGGCATGCTCTTGGCTTTGTTGACTCTCTGCATTTGGGTCTCTGCTCATTTATCAGCCCTGGGCCACATCATGGAAAGAAACCCTCTGCATATTTTTTTTTTTTGGTTTGTTTCCGTTGTTTATTTTTTTTGGGGGGGAGGGGCACACCTGGAGATGCTCAGGGCTTACTCCTGGCTCAGTGCTCAGGGATCTGTCCTGTCAGGGGACCCTATGGGGTGCCGGGGATTGAAACAGGGTCAGCCACCTGCAAGGCTAGGGCCGTAACCTCTGTGCTCCGTCTCTCTGCTGGCCTTCTTCCCATTTTCCTCATGGCTCTTACAACAGTGCTCGCCTCTAACTGTCCTGTGACTGGCACCAGTGTTACACAGGGAGCATCAACAGGCAAACTCAGGGGGCACTGCCCTGCCCCCGCCACCCAGGGACACAGTGGCAGGGGACAGCAGCTGAGGTCCGAGCCCTCCGCACCTGGGATGGCGCCAGGCTCCGGGCAGTGGGGGGAGGCTTGCTGGTGTGTGTGTGTTGGGGGGCTGGGACGCCCCTTTTCTCTCTCCCCCCACCCTTGCGGGTGCCACCCCAGCGGGTCGCCTACTCCCTCTGCCCTGGACTGTGGGTCCCGGCCTGGCTCGGAGAGGCAGGAGGAGGAGGGGGCACGTCTGTGCCAGTGACTCGGACCCGGCTCCAGTCTGAGGTGCCCCAGGGAAGGGGTGAGTAAGGAGAGATGAAAGGAGGTGAGGTGAGGGGCGGGCTTCAAAGTTGGCAGATAAAAGGCTCGGAGAGAGACCACGGGGGAGGGGAGGGCTGGTGGCGGGCGGGCACGGGCACCCAGACAAGACTCCTCCAGCCCAGAGCCCGGGAGGCCGCTTCAAACTGGGCCTCAGTTTCCTGCCAGGGTCGGGGGGGGGGTAGTGAACTGAGAGGGGAGGGGCAGCCTGGCCCCCGGAGTCGGGATCCCCTGCACTGTCTGTCTGTGCCCCTCCTCCGGGAGCCCCTTGTCTGGGCAGTCACACAGGACTGACCCCTGGGGATTCACGCCAACCTGCCCTGTGCGGGGCTCAAGGAGGAAGTGACCCTGCGGGCCAGTGGCCAGTTGCTTCTGCTCTGACCTCTCCTCCTCCCCTCGGCCGGAGCACCCCCAACCCCGCAGCCTCACACACCCCCAGGGACACCCACGCCTGCGCCCCCATGCCGTGCGCTCTCTGGCCTGTCTCTGCCTCCATCCGCCCCCTCCATGGGTGGCCCCCAAGCTCGTGGGGCTGGAGCCCCGTCCCCAGGGACCCCTGGCTGGGAGGGAGCGCGCAGAAGGAGCCAGGAGCTGGTGCCGGCCACGAGGGGCGACAGGACAGAGTGAGGCGGCAAGTGGGTGGAGGGACAAAAGGGACCTCCCGGAGGGGGCAGGGAACCCGGGAGCAGGGCAGAGTCTGGGGCTTTGCAGAGCTGCAAGGAGCGGGCGAGGCTGGGCTGAAGAGGGGACACACAGTCACTCGGGATGGGGGACAGGGTCACATGGGGGTCTGGCCTTTGGTCTGGAGCCTGCAGGAGCCTCCAGAGGGCCTGGCCATGAGGCCAGGCTCTGATTTATCCCGGATGGTGAGTGTGACTTGATTATAGATTAATTATAGATTATCGATCAATTATAGACCATAAATCATAGGTCAGCTATAGCCTATAGATTGATTACAGCCAACGGATTGATTATAGACTATCAACTGATTATTGACTATAGAATGATTATAGACAGTAGATTATGGACTATAGACAACAGCCTATAGATTGTAGGCTATAGATTGTAGGCTATAGATTGATTATAGATTATCAACTGATTATTGATTGTATTGATTGTAGAATGATTATAGACTTTAGATTGATTATAGCCTAAAGATTGATTATAGACTATAGATTATAGGTTGATTATAGACTACAATTGATCATAGACGATAGATTATAGCCTATAGATTGATCATAGACTGGTTATAGCCTATAGATTATAGACTATAGGTTATAGGCTGATTATAGCCTAAAGATTGATTACAGACTATAGATTATAGGTTGATTATAGCCTATAGATTGATCATAGACTATAGATTATAGCCTACAGATTGATCATAGACTATAGATTGTAGATTGATTATAGCCTGTAGATTGATCATAGATTATAGATTATAGGTTGATTATAGTCTATATATTGATCGTAGATTATAGATTATAAATTTTAGCTGGAGGCCAGAGCAGGAGACACAGCCAAGTGAGGACTGTGCCCCTCCCACACAGAAGAAGTGAGGTGAGAGACCCCCCTATTCCTGGTTTTCAGTTCAGGCCGAGGCTGGCTGCCCAGCTGAAGGCTGAGGTGGGCGCCCCTCCCCCCCGCCCGGCTCCTGTCCCCTGTCCCCAGCCCAGCCCTGCCCTGCCCTGGTCCCAAGTCTCTCCCACGAGGCCCCTCTGGCTCCGCCTCCGCCTCCTCCCCCCCACCTGAGCCCAGCCCCCTTCCCGGCGCGCCCCCCACCCGCCCGCCCCCCTGCCCAGTCTGTGCGCGCGGAGGGGCGGTGGGGGGGCAGCGGGCAGCAGGCGTGGCCCCGAGGGGGTCTCACCGGACGGGCCGGTTGGCGGCGTCGGGGTCCCGCGCCGTCACCACGCCGACCAGGGAGCCCACCTGCGCGTCCTCCTGCACCTCCAGGAGGCCGGAGGGCGGCCGGAACTCGGGGGGCTCGTCCACGTCGGTCACGGCCACGCGCACGATGGCCTGGTCGCGGAAGGTGCCCAGGTCGGCGAAGCGCGGCTCCACGAACTTGTTGAGCGCCTCCAGGACGACGGTGTGCACCGGCTGGGACTCGAAATCCAGGCGCTGCGGGCGGGACACAGCGCGGCCCACTGAGGCAGGCGGAGACCCGTCCCCGCGCTCTCGAGGGGAAACTGAGTCCCGGGCAGCCCCCACCCAGGAAGGCACCGCCAGCACCTCCGGGGACCCTGAGGTCACTTTCCTAGTCATCTACTTCCATCATCTTTGGGTTTTGGGGCTGCACTGGGTGCTCAAGGCTCATGCCTGGCTCTGCCCTCAGGGCTGGCTCCTGGCACAGCTCAGGGGACCCTAGAGGGGCCAGGGAATGAATCCTGGTAGCTCACTTGCCCGACAAGCGCTGGCCTGCTGTCCCGGCTCTCTGGCCCTCTCTGGGCTTTCAAGCATCCTAAGGGACTGTAGGGTCACCTCACCCCCTGCCCAGGCTCGGAGCCCTGCCTGGGGTCACTCAGCGGGACCAGGACAAAACCAGCAGAGGAAAGAGTCGGGCCGGGCCAGCTGTGTATCTGTGGATCTGAGAAGTTCCCTGCCCGGGAGAAGCGGGGGGGGGGGGGGGGGGGCGGCCTTGGAGCCCCCCTGGGAGACGTGGCTAAGCCCACCTAAGACCTCGCCGGCCAGTGCTAATGAGCCCGCCTCAGAGGGGCCAGGGCTGTGTTGAGGAGAAATGGCCCTGCAAGGCTGGGTGCGTACCCCACTCCCCTGGGTGGGCTGCTGAGTGCTAAGACTGGCCTATGTATAGGAACCCCCCCTTCTCCTTCTCCTAAGTACCCCCCTCTGCCACCTGAATCCCCATCACTAGCACCGGAGGCTGCAGGACACTGGCCTGGGACCAAGGGTGAGCTCTGGAGACACCGATATTGGGAGGGGGGCCCCTGAACGAACCCAGGCGGCCTCCACAAAGACCCCACGGGCACCACTGCAGAGGTGTGGGGGGCAGCGTGGGGAGTCTGAGCAGGCTGAGGGTCACACCCAGCGATGTACAGGGGTTCCTCCTGGCTCTGCACTCAGGAATTACTCCTGGAGGTGCTCAGGGGACCCTATGGGATGCTGGGAATCGAACCCAGGTCGGCTGTGTGCAAGGCAAACGCCCTACCTACTGTGCTATCACTCCAGCCCCTATTCATTTATTTTTTAAACTAAAAAATAATTATTTTGCTGCTTATTTTGGACCACGCCTGGCAGTTCTCAGGGGTTCCTTCTGGCTCTGCACTCAGGAATCACTTCTGGCGGTGCTTGGGGGACCGTATGAGATGCTGAGAATCGAACCCAGGTCAGCTGCATGCAAGGCAAACACCCTCCCCCCTGTGCTATCGCCCCAGGCCCTCCAGGGAGGGTCGGCGGAGGAAGGAAAGAGCTCAGGTTAACAGATCTGAATTTTGGTCCCAACTTCCACGAGGCCTCATGAGACCTAGGTAAGGGCCAGTTTGGGCCCTTACTGCCTCTGTTCTCTCGCTGCTAAAAACGGCCACAGCACCGGACAATTAATGCTAGAAGGCTAAAGGGAACGTGCGCTGTTGGGGCCCAGTGTGGACCCGTAAGGGTCTGGGGGTCTCAGCAGGAATCCCGCCTCCGATCACGCGCTCTGCAGCCCGGGGCAGGTGGCTCCCCCTCTCTGTGCCTCAACAAAAACATTTTGCAAAAAAAAACCGAAGGAGTGGTGGGTCGCTTTTCCCAGCTGGGACCTGGGCCAGCTCTCAGCTCTCCTGAGAGGCCGATCCCGCCCCTCCGCCGCCCAGCACCAAGCAGGCAGCCACACCTTCTGGACAATGAGGACGGCCTCCTGCGTGTCGCTGTCCGTGGTGACCTTGAACACGTGCCCGCCACTGCCGCTCTCTTCCTTGAGGTGGTAGGTCATGTCCGTGTTCTCGCCCACGTCCGAGTCCTCGGCCTTCACGCGGCCCACGGCTGTGCCGATGGGGGCCGACTCCTGGATGGTGAACTGGTACAGCTCTGCAGGGCGGCATAGTGGGGGTGGGGTGAGCAGGCTGGGGGGCTTCGGGAAGACGCAGCTGCCCGCGTTCCTGCCCTTGCTCCCTCCCGGGTCGGGATGGGGGCTGGAGTGGGGAGGGGGGAGGGCATGGGCCTTGCACGCAGCTGACCTGGGTTCGATCCCCGGCACCCCAGAAGGTCCCTAGGGCCCTGCCAGGAGCGAGTCCTGAGTGCAGAGCCAAAGTCAGGGTCTACGCACTGGCCCAGGAAGAAGCGCACAGTGTCCCGGCCCCTCACACAGGCCTCAGGGCTGAGGCTGCTCTCCCCGGAGGCCGCCTCGTCTTCAGAATGGAATAAGGACGCCGGGCACAGACAGCGGCCCGTGCCTCAGTCTTAGGATGTCGGCTTCAAAGAGCGGAGTGCGGGCAGGCAGCCTGGGTGCGACCCCGCACACCTCAGGGTCCCCTGAGCACTGGCAGGTGTGGCCACAAAATGAAACGAAATGCTGCGACGAGGGCCTGCACCGGGCAAACGGGTCAGATGGATCAGCAGAACAATCGAGCAAACGCTGCCAGGCTCTGGGTTGTCTCTGAGGCGACCGGCACTCTTGGTATCGATCTCTCTGCCTGCCCGTCTTGACCGGGCACCTGCGTGGTCCCGGAGGGGGTGGTGAGCACCAGGCCGAGAGCAAGGAACAAAGCGCCCAGCCCCCCACCCCTCAGTGCTTTCCTCCGGGTGGAAGGAGAGAGACACCAAAGCACCAAACGCGCAGCTTGTCGAAAGGTGCTGGGTGCTCCGGAGAAAACTTAAGCTGCTAAGGGAAGGGAGCGATGCTGAGGAGGGCGTGAGCAGAGTTTGAAACAGGACGGTCTCGGAAAGGTCTCGCTGAGAGCAGGGCAGCTTTGCACGTCTGCGGGGAGGCGAGGGAGTGAGCCAGCAGAGACCGGGGATGAGCAATGCAGACAGCGGGAACGGCAGGTGCAAAGGCCCTGGGGTGGGTCTGTGCCTGGCACGTCTTCAAGACTGGCAAGATGGCCAGTGTGGCTGAAGGGGGTGGCGGCGGCGAAAGAGGACAGAATGAGGGCAGATGGCACAGAAGCAAGGTCCTGGACTTCTTCCGAAGCCAAAGTCGAGGTGAAGGTCGTTTGCTAAATGAAGAAGCAGGGGCTGGGGGAGGGGTGTGTGTATGAGTGTGTATGTGTGTATGTGTGTGAACGTATATATGTATGTGTGTGCATGTGTGTATGTGTGTGCATGTGTGAGTGTATGTATGTGTATATGTGTGTGAGTGTGTATGTGTATGAGTGTATATGTGTATACGTGTGTATGCGCACATGTGTATGTGTGTGCGTTTGTGTGTATGTATATGTGTGTATGTGTTTTTATGTGTGTGTATGTGTGTGTGAATGTATATGTGTATATGTGTGTATGTGCATATGTGTATGTATGTGTGTGCATGTGTGTATGTATGTATATGGGTGTATGTGTGTTTATGTGTGCATGTGTGAGTGTGTGTGTGTGTTGTGGGTTCCCACCCGGTGTGTAGCAGCCCCCTGGGCTTCACCCTCACCTAGCAGCCAGCTGAGCTCGGCTCTTCCTGCGTCCCTCCCTGCAGGGTCTCCTGCTGCCTCTGAGTCCGCCCTGCAAACCCCGACCCCGGCCGCTCCCCACACCCCTGCTCTCCCGCAGCCCAGCTTCGAGCTCGTAACTCCTACAACCTGACGCTCTGCCTCCGGTGGGCGTCCCCTGGTTCCTCTCTTCATCCTTCCGGCTGCCTTTGCTCCTCCCGAATGTTTCCTGCTGACGGGAACATCGCAGCCTCCAGCTCTGCCCCCCAGTGCCAGGACCCCAGGAAGCCCCCCTTGTGAGGATTACACACCCTCCTGCCTGCCTCTGCTCCTCCCCACGCCCCTCCGAAGGCAGGAACTAACTGCACCTCACCATGACGTCTCCCCAGAGCCAGGCAGAACCAAACCCTCACGAGCGGAGTGAGAAGGGGTGAGTCAGGGAACGGGAAGACGCCGCCGCCGGAGGTCGTGGCAAGTCTGACTGCCAGGCGCCGGCGAGGGGGTGGTGCCACCGTACCAGCGTTCCTTCATGGGGTACGAGTAGGGGGGAGCATTTTGGTTTTATTTAGCGAGGCTGGGGTGAAAATAGCAAGGCCTCAAATAGCACTGTGGATTCATCATGATGTTGAGAAGGAAACCCCCGGGGCCCTGGGGCCCTCGAGCTGGGGCTATTAGGGACATGCTTTGGTGACGTCATTTGGCTCATGTTCCCGAGAGCCCACCCACTTCTGCTTGGAGGACTTGGCAGAACCCAGAACCTACCCGCGCCCTGAAGCGAGGCTTCCTGGGCATCGGTGGAACTGCCTGTGATGTCGCTCGAGAGCGCGCCCACGGTCAGCGCATGGCCGGCCTGGGGGAGGGGCAGCACTCTTGCCCACCCACAGCAAACTCAGCAGACCCTGGCCATGAAAGGGACACGTGAGTCGGAGCCTGAGCAGGCCCAAGCGGTTCACAGATGTGTGAAGAGAGACAAGAAAAGACACGACGACGCGGTGGTTTGTCCTGCAAGGTGAGAAGCCGGTGAGAGCAACGGACAGGCTCGGCCGTGTACACAGAGCTGAGCTGTGACAGCCAGGGCCTCGGACGCAGAAGAGCTTGTCTCGGACCCGGGTGGAGGGGAACACTCAGGAAAGGGCTTCTGGACGCTTCTGGGGGGCCACCGTGCTCGGTGCTGGGCGTGTGGCTTCTCAATGACTTGGCTTTCTTTTTTCTTTTTGGGTCACAGCTGGCGATGCACAGGGGTTACTCCTGGCTCTGCACTCAGGAATCACTCCTGGCAGTGCTCGGGGGACCCTATGGGATGCTGGGGATTGAACCTGGGTCGGCTGCATGCAAGGCAAACGCCCTCCCCGCTGTGCTATTGCTCCAACCCCCCTGTAATGACTTGTTGAGGAGGCTGGAGCCATAGCAGAGCGGGTGAGTTGCTTGCCTTGGACACAGCTGACCAGGGTTTCATTCTCAGCATCCCAGACGGTCCCCTGAGCCCCACCAGGAGGGATTCCTGAGTGCATGAGCCAGGAGTAACCCCTGAGCATTGCTGGGTGTGGTCCCCCCCGCAAACAAAAACAAACAGACAAACCAACACCCCCATCATGACTTGTTGAGCTGGACGTTTCTGGTTGATGCCCGTGTGTGTGAGTGTGTGTGTGTGTGTGTGTGTGTGTGTGTGAGCACGCACACATACTACAAACATTTCCCTTTAAATATTCACACGACAAAGGAATGCAGCGCGCCGGGGTGCCCACAACGGCCATCAATAGGGCCCTTCTCTCAGCTCTGCCCGCCCCTGCCAGCCCTGAGCTGGCACAGAGCCTGGCATCCCTGGGCAGCCTGGACCCCGCCCCTCTGCCAGGGCTTCAAGGCCTGCCCGTCTGTGGGTGGGGTGGGCCAGGCGGGCTTCTGTGCCGGGCTCCATGGCGACGACGTGGCACAGGGCTGCGAGGGGGGGTGCGGGGAGGGGAGCCAGGGCACTGGCCACCGGGCAGGCGCTGCAGCTGGGCCCAGCGCGTGGCCGGAACACGGTGGCGCTCGCAGCTCCCTTATCTCCCGGGGTCAGTCCCTGTGGCGGCGCCTAATGTGGGAGCGGTAATGGCTCTCCCGATAGGGATCAGATCCTGCTCCTGCCGCATTTAGTCTCTGCCAGCCTGGCCAGCTTCCTCTGGGCCGGAGCAGGGGATCGAGGGCTGGCAAGGCTGAAGGGGGGGGCGGGGCAGGGGTGGTGGTGGCCAGGGGGACTGCAGGACCCCCACCTTTGTGGGTGCTGGGTGAGGAAAGCAGGATGAGGCAGGTGCAGACTCCCCAGCAGGGTGTGGGTTTCGCCACGGTCTCCGTCGGGACCCCACGTGCCCTCTGCCTGCCTTCCCTGGCAAATGCCGTCAGCTCAGGGGGGTGTGCAGAACCAGCGAGGGATGGGTAGTGAAGAGGGGGCGGGGGGAGGGTACCACAGTGATGGGGAGTCTGACAGATCAGACAGCTCTGGACCACCCTGGCAGGAAATGGGTCACCTGGATTGCAAGGACGACGCGACCCTGGGCGACCCACCCTTGGAAGGCCAGTGATGAAGAGTGAGGTGGCGATCTAGGAAATGGGCAGAAAGCCTGCCAGGGGATGGGGAGTTGGGGGGGCCTGGGGGTAGGCAGAGGGGCTCCTTCACTGGGTAGGAAGCCTACAGGGGAGCTTGGGAATTGCAAGCAGCTCAAAAGTTTGCACATAGCACAAGAAACTCTGGTTAAAATAAAAAAAAAACCAACCCTACTGAATAATATCTGAAAATAATCTGCACAGTGTACAACCGACAAAGAGGCAGCGTCCAATAGACACAGAGCACGCACAGGCCTCCGCCGAAGAAGACCACCAAGAAACGGGGAAGCGGGAGGGGGGGGGCGACACTTCTCCCAGGAGAACATATGGACGGCCAGTAGGCGTGTGGAAAAGTGTTTATCATCACCGATCAACAGGGAAACGCAAATCGAAACGACAATAAGAGCATCTCACCCCGGGGAAGAAAGGCAGCTCGCTTAAAAAGACCGGAAACAGGGGCTGGAGAGTTGGGACAGTGGGGAGGGCGCTGGCCTGGCACACGGTCGACTCAACACCCCACCCCCACCCCCCAGACGGTCTCCTGGTCCCCACCAGGAGTGAGTGCAGAGGCAGGAGTCAGTCCTGAGCACTGCTGGGAGTGCCCTGAAAAACAACAGCAACAACAACAAAACTGGAAACAGCTGGTGCTGGCGGGGGCGGGTGGTGGGGAACGTGGCGACGAAAGAACCCCCAGCCACCGCTGTTGGGGGAGGGGGGGTGTCGTCTGTTTCCACCCCCACGGAGACAAGCTGGAGATCTCCCACCAGAATAAGGCAAAAACTCCCACAGCACCCAACCATTCCACCCTTGGCATCCTCCCCCCTAAACACCAGCACCGTGACTCGAACACGGGGCTCTTAGCTCCACAGTCAAGGAACGGCAACAGCCTGAGGGGCCAGCCACAGAAAGGACGGGGTCGTGGGACAGAGACACAGAACACGGCTCGGCTCTCAGAGAAGGTGGGGTCACGGGACCGACTGGAGGGTGTCACAGCAGGCAAAGTACAGGAAGGGGAAGGACAAACACCAGATGATGGCCCCGTGGGTGGGGTGCAGTGAGACAGAAGAGGGGAAATGACAGTGTTGACCAGTGGCAGACCCTGTGGCTTTACGATGCTAATAACCCACCCTGCGGGGAGAGGCCAGAGGAAGAACCACCAGACCGGAGGGTCTCGGGCACGGTGGTGGCGGGGTGCGGTGACCCAACAACACCAGACCATTCTGGCACTAACGCAACCATCGAAACTAATGATAATTTTTTTTTCTTTTTGGGTCACACCCGGCGATGCTCAGGGGTTACTCCTGGCTCATGCACTCAGGAATCACTCCTGGCGGTGCTCAGGGGACCATATGGGGTGCTGGGAATCGAACCTGTGGTGACCATGTTGGCTGTGTGCAAGGCAAACGCCCTACCGCTGTGCTATCGCTCCAGCCCCACTAATAATTTTTTTAAAAAGCTTGGCCATAGGTGAGTTGCAAGGATGACACAGCCCTCGGTGACCCGCGCTGGGAAGGCCAGTGAGAGCGAGGTTGGGGGCCAGGCTGGGGTCTCCAGGCACTCAGGGCGAGCTCACTCACTCTGCGGGAAGCGGGGCGGGTTGTCGTTGACGTCGGTGACCACGATGGTGACGGTCGTGGAGCCTGAGAGGCCGCCCAGCTGGCCGGCCATGTCTGTGGCCTGAATCACCACCTCGTAGCGCTCCTGGCTCTCCCGGTCAAGGTCGGGCACGGCCGTCCGGATCACACCTGGGGGATGGAGGGGAGGTCAGGGGGCGCCCTGGCAGCCGCCAGCTGCCGGCCTGCCCCAGAACAGGAGAGAGAACAGAGCGGAAGGGATAGTGGAAGCCACACGTGTTCTCACAGATAGGCTCACACACACGCACACACACACGTCACCATGTGAATATGCCCACATCCGCCCAGGCACACATGTCATGATGCAAGTATGGCCAAACTCAAGCTGACTCAGTACCACACACAGGCACACATGTCAGGATGCAGGTATGCCCACACTCACGCCCACTCAGTGTTCTATTCCCACACTCATATACACGCTCACACACGTGCTCAAGCGTGTCCATGTTCAACACATCTTCATTCCTGCGCTCACATTCTTACACACACTCAAATACAAGCTTGTGCAAAAGTGCTCCACTCACACATACCAAATGCTCCGGACAGACCCCTATCTCCTCATACACAATCCCAGGGAGAGCCCACACAGTTGAGGCAAATACCGGCACACACAAGGTCCTGGGTTGGGTGTCTGGCACCATAAGGCCTCCTGAGCACTGTTGGGAGGAGCTCTGAGAGTTCCCTGTGTGCTGGGAAGGGCCCCCTCCACCCCAATATCAACATCTGTGCATGCGTGCATGGGGAGGTGGCAGACACAGACACACACTCACACACTCATGCACACACTCACATACACAACTGTCACATGTCAAAGATGCCTTTTTAAGGGCTGGGGTCAGGTGTATGCTTTGCACGGGCAGGACCTTGGATGGACCCTGACCTCACAGGGCCCTCCACACATCACCAGGTGTGGCCCGTGTGGCCCCCAGAGCCTCAGGGTGCAGTGAATTCTTGCCCCCTGAACACCAGGGCGGTCGCCCAGACTGGTTGGCCAAATACTCCCAGGGGTTAGCGCAGGCCCCTGAACACTGCCAGATGCCCCGCATCCCTTTCAGAACTTTCTCCCACACAGGTCCATGCTCACACCCCCCTTTCAAACACACGTGCACACTTCAGACACACAACAGCACACAGCACAGAAGCAGTGGGACACATTGACAGCCGGCTGGGGAGACGGTCACTGCGTGGGCCGCACTGTGGGGGCGTCCATCTCCCCGGCACGGGTGCGAGTGGGAGCCTGGCCTGTGTGGGTTCCTCTGCAGGTGGGGCTTGGTACAGGGATGGGCACGGAGCCGGGGGTGGCCCCGCCAATGCCTCCCTCTCACCCTCACGCGGAGTCTCGTGCCCAGCACACACCCCACGCCCATGCACAGCCTCAACCCACACTCGGCTCCGACTCCCTCCTTCCCGCCACCCCCTTCCAGGCCGGCTGGGGGGTTGGGGCACCTAGTCTGCTCATCGCCCAGCGAACGATCCTCCAGTGGAGGGAGGCACCAGGTGGCGGCAGTGGACACGGATCCGGCGCCAGGGAACGCTGATGTCCTTGACTCCCCAGCAGCAGGAGATTGGGGGGGGGACTGGAACTGGTGAAGTTCATGAGGCGTTGAGAGCACCCCCCCTCCCCGACTCCAACCTGCCGCATACCAGGTGGTGGCAGGTGGTGCCCGAGGCCCGAGTGGCAGGTGGAGTCACGCACCAGCAGTGCAGGACGCGCCCCATAAAGCCCAATCTCCACCTCCGAGGTCCCCAAATTGTCCCCAGACTGCACCCAGGGCAATGAGACATGAAACAGGGAGAGAGGCTGTCAAGGGGGGCACCTGGGAGGCGCTGTGGCTCTGTTTTGTTCGTTTTGTTTGTGTTTTGGGGTCACACAGGGTTGACTCCTGGCTCTGTCTTCCAGGGTGACTCCTGGCAGGCTTGGGGGACCGTAGGAGGTGCCGGCGATCGAACCCAGGTCAACCGCGTGCAAGGCCAGCCCCTCCCCCCCGTTGCCCTCTCCACTTTGTACTTTTGTGGTTTGAACCCTGTACCATCTCTCTGGCCCCTGAAAAACTTAACACAAAATGCAGAAATACACAGTGAAAATGATTAACTTTTAGAACAGCCGCATGCATGGATGCAGTTAAATCTGGTTTAGCCAATATGTTAAACTTCAGTCCCAAGGTGCGGTGACTCTCCCGGCATCGCAGGGGGATATGGAATGTGTCTCTAACCAACGCCCTGAGCGCCAGCCTCCCGGGCCTAGCAGGTCGCCGCTTCTCACCCCCGTTTCTGTGGCGGGACTGGTTTCCCCAGCCCAGGGATCGGTCCCTAGGGGCAGGTGACCTTGGGGGTGACTCCCAGATTGGCCCTGTGGGGGTCCTGAGGCCCGAGTTAAGTGCCCACTTGGCACTTCTGCTTCCTAACCTGCGGCACGGAACGGGCCAGTACCCCCAAGAACAGAACCTCCCACTGGTAACTTGGACGGGCTGGCGCCTCTCGGGGACACCGCTCCCTGCCATGCCGGGTGCCAAGAAGACCATCAGAAACTGTTGAGTGGCCCCAGAGGTGACATCGGTCGAGAACCTTTGGTCCAGCCAGGTTCTTGAGAACTGCCCTCAGTAAGGATGGCGCCACCAGCCCTGCGAACTGCCCATTCTCAGCGGGTCCTCGCAAGCCCCCCAAAGAGGCAGTGATGGCCCCATTTTGCGGAGCAGGAGATGAAGGCACAGAGAGCCCAGGTTCCCTGAATGAGGCTGCTCCTGGCCAGATCAGAGGGACGGGACCGTGGGCATCCAGGCCAGAGGCCCAGCTCCGGGTGGCTGGGAGGGACTGTCACAGGGTGTGGGGGGGTGACCGAAGGACATGACGGACATGGCCCTCTGCTCCTGGCATGGCCGAATCAGACCAGCCATGCAGCCGTCTCCGGCCGGGGCCCCTCCCCGCACCGCACCTCAATGCTGGGCCAGAGACAGAGACAGAGGCAGATGGAGACACAGAGACACTCAGGCAAGAAAGAGACAAGGGGAGAGACGCAGAAGCAAAGAAAAGGAGAGACATGGGGGGAGAGGGAGAGCGGGTGAAGGGAACAGGAAGAGAAAGAGGGGAGCAGCGAAGAGAGAGTGAGAAAGGGGAGAGAGAGAAAGATAGGGAGAGAGGGAGGGAGAGAGAGGGAAAGGGAGAGAGGGAGGGAGAGGGAAATAGAAGGAGAGAAGAAGAGAGGGAGGGAGAGAGGGAGAGATGGAGAGAGGGAGAGAGGAAGAGAGAGAGGGAGGGAGAGGGAAAGAGAGAGGGGGGAGAGAGGGAGAGGGAGAGAGAGGGAGGGAGAGAGAGGGTGGGAGAGATGAAGAGATGGAGAGAGAGGGAGAGAGGGAGAGAAAGAGGGAGGGAGGGAGAGAGGTAGAGAGAGAGAAAGAGAGAGCCCACACCAGAGAAACCAACAGAGACGGGGAAGGAGGGAAGGAACAGCCAAAGTGCTTCTGGGTGGGGAGAGCAAACATCCTCCCCAGGGGGCGGCTGGAGAACACAGCTGGAATAGGACAGATTGTCGGGGGAGTGACCACAGCACATGGCCGAGCTGGGGGGCCCTGGGGGACCCCTGGTAAAGGCAGGGAGGGGACCCGGGCAGCCGGGCACTTACTCTGGACCGAGTTTCTGGCCCATCACTGTGCATAAGCTCTCTCTGCTGATGGGCCTGGGGGCTGCTACGCCTCTGAGCTGGGCCGGGCTGAGGCCTGCCCGCCAACAGAGCTCGCCTTGCTGTCTCTGCCGCCCGCAGCTCTGCCATCGGGGCATGGGGCCCTCCTCCCTAGGGAACAAGGAGGTGCCAAGCGTGCCCACTGCGGTGGGTTCGCGAGGTCCCGCCACCTCGCAGCTCACCCGGACACCTGCTAAGTGAGGCCGACCCGGGCCTTGATGAGCCGGGTGTGTGGGGTCGGCCCTGGGGATCCCCGAGGTCACAGTGCTGCAGAGACGTTTAGGAGAGAGTGGCCCAGTCCGGGAGGCTGTCCCGCTGCCCGTTGGCTGCCACGCGAGGACCCGGTGACAGAAAGGCCCATCGAACCCTGAGGGCCGTGCCAAACTGACTGATGTGAGCCCTTAATCTGGGCCACAGAGGGCAAAGTGGACAACGACATCCCCTGACCCTGTGCTCTGCTGGGGTCCCTCCCGCCAGGCCCAACCCCAGCCCCACGCATGGGGCCCGCCTGCCCGCCCGCTACGGATTCTGGTTCCCTCTGAGACCAGGCGTTCCCTGAGGGGTCAGGGGCTGTGGGGGATTCTCCAGTCAGCTTCTGAAGCTGTGAAACCTTTCCACACTGCAAATCCCGACACTCACTCCTGGAACAAACCCTTCCTAAAGGACCTCCTGCATTCTAGGGGGCCACCAAGCTGTTTTTTTTTTTTTGCTTTGTAGGTCACGCCTGGGGATGCTCAGGGGTTACTCCTGGCTCTGCACTCAGGAATCACTCCTGGAAGTGCTCAGGGAACCCTATGGGACGCTGGGAATCGAACCCTGATCAGCTCCGTGCAAGGCAAACGCCCTCCCCGCTGTGCTATCGCTCCAGCCCCCAGGCTGGATTAAAGTTGTGCAAAGGGAAGGGGCTCTCGAGAGGGGCTCCAGGCTTCCTTTCCCCCAACCCCCACATGCTGTCTGACCGTGGGCAAGTGCCGGACCCTCCCTGATCACCCTCACTCTGGAAAGTGGGAGTCCCTAGCAGGGAGGGCTATGTGAGGACGGCCGGGCTCACTTTGGGGTGACACTTCACTGATGTTTCTTCTCAAGTCGCTTATGGGGAGCACCCCACGAATGAGCTCTGTGAGGATGCTACTCTCCGGCCCTTTGCATCCTCCTTATCTTGGGGTGTGGCCCAGAGAGGTCGTTCAGGAAACAGAGTGGCCCACCCCCACTTCTGTTCAGGGCTGGGTGGTCTGCTCCTGGCTTCTCAGTTAGAGCAAGAAGCCCCAGGGGGTCACACCTCATCTTCATGGGAATCTAACAACTTAGAAAGGCCCAATTTTGTTTCTATGTTTGTTTTGGGGTCACACCCGGGGGTGTTCAGGGCTTACTCCTGGGCAGGCTCAGGGGCCTCTATGGGATGCGGGGGCTCGAACCCTGGTCCGCCACATGGAAG